CACTTTCTTTAATATTCCATCTATGTCCCTTAGTCAATTACAATAATGCCCTCATTTTTAATACATTATCCATGAAATTCTACCTCTTTTCACTCCCCACTTTTTCAACTAATTTTGAGTGAAAATACCATTTTACCCTTAATGCAAGTTTAAGGCATTTTCTTCACATTTTCTCAAAATAACTTTAGCAAAAAAATCAACTAAAGGTATAAGAGTATAAATTAAATTACGTACCTCCATGTGGGCGTTACAGCGATCCATCATATCCAAAACACATTTCCAGTCATCTCCACCTACAATCGGTGCTACAACCCCCAGTTACCCATAATGCAAGAAAACATTCAACAAATTTCACTCCTTTCAACTTGCATTACATCAAACACAACCCAACAACCTAAACAACTAAATCTAAATCATAACCCAAACCCAATCCATCATTAAATCTTTGTAAATTGAAATATAAAATGGAAAGGGGAGATACACATACCTCGACGAAATGTCAAGAGGAAGAGGAGAAGGAGGAAGGGAGGAGGAGGAGGATCTGTGACGAAGAAGATGTTAATGGCGGAGGAAGAAGATAGTGTTAATGGCGGGAAGAAGAAGGCGTACAGGAAGGAGGAAGAAGAAGATATAGACGAAGCTTAGAAAAAACAACAACCAGTGGAGGAATGTGTTAATGGCAGGAGAAAGAAGAATAAGGTGTTTGGGATTGTTTGCAAGAATTTCGGCTCTTTGGGGACATATTGTAATTTTTAAAAGATTACACAATACTTCATTAATCTTAATTAACCATTAATCATGTTTAATTAACCTTAATCAACAATAAAGCTATTTACTTAACACTTTCAAACGATATGGCCTTTTAATTAAATTTGAACTTGATTTGGCCTTTTAATAATCATGTCTAAACAGCCCAATAAGAACCATCAAACTAAGTATAGAGTAGAGTTATATTGATACCCCACTAATGGATTAAAGAAGCCTCATTTCTTAAGATATCTTATTTCAAAGTTTTAAAATTAAATATTTTTTCTTATGGTACCTCATAAATTCTATAAATGCCCTTCATTCTATTTTTTTATATTTTGAAAAGGTTAATATTTCATTCCATTTACTTATGCTATACACCCCCTCACTATCATTATTCTTAAAATAAAAATTTAGATAATCAAATTGAAAGTTTAAAAAAAAAAAAAAAAATAGAGCTAAAAAAATATCTTACAAATAATCCCAATAACTTAATATAATTAAACAATACAAAAAAAATATAAGTTAAAATAAATACGAAGGCTTTGAAGAAAAGCTTACAATTTTGTATTGCGTTTTATGTTTGTTTTAAGCTACCTCTGAGTGGCCGAGTGGTTCGATAGGGACTATTGGGTGTATTACTCAAGAGATCCCTTCTCGGTTGCTAATAGGGATAGTCACTAAAACTCTTACCCGATCGATATTTCCAAGGTCTCAAGGAATTAGCTGAGGTATGCGTAAACTGGTCTGAATACCCCCAGTCATTAAAAAAAAATCTATGTTTGTTCTAAGAATGATTTGAATAGCATAAAAAAAATATTAGACTTTATGAGATAATAGTGTGGTGTGAAAGTATTGGAAAAGAATAGAAAATAAAGTTAATTTAATATAGGGTAAATTTGTCATTATAAAATTTATTAAAAAATGGGGTTTTTTTAGTCAATGGATTAACTAATAATTATAAGGATATTCAACGGCTGAACAGTCCCCCCCCCCCCCCCCCCCCCCCCCCCCCCCCCCCCCCCCCCAAGTTTGGGAAATGTAGTGTTTTCACCCACAATCTTTTAAAAAACCATTTTCCACCCATTGTTAAAATTTTGGGAAATGTAGTGTTTTCACCCACAATCTTTTAAAAAACCATTTTCCACCCATTGTTAAAATTCAGATGTTAGTTTTAATTATCAATAGGCATTCTTGTCAGTTTGCAATATATATATATAGAGAGAGAGAGAGTAAAACCTCTTTATAGGAATATTCTATATAGGAATAAACTCTACATAGTCATAAAAAAAAATTTATTCCCAATTTAGGATAGTTATAAATAAGAATAAACTCCACATTGTAATAAGTTATAATTTTTCTAATTCCTGTCTTAAAGAAAGTTGCCTCCATATAGTAATAATTATATATATTATAAAAAAAAAAATATATGTTATGTTACATTAAAGGTTTAGGATGAAATAAAATATTTATCTAAAGTTGTTTAGGATAATAATTTATGCTTTAAAGTTATTACCACATCTTTTAACTTGCAGATACATTATTCGCTAAAATGGACATTTTCTTGTTGAAGCCAAAACATTTCTAGCTTCTCAAGCATGTTTAGAGCTTCTTGGTATAAAACTTTTTGTATTTATGTACTATCATCCTCATAATTATTTCTTTTCTCTTCTTGTCTAATTGTGGTAATGATTTGCTCTTCTGTTAAAGCATACATGACTTGTTGCTTATTTAAATTATTAAGGAAGACATTAATATCTATTTGATTAATGTGAAGTTGTCGAATCTGATCACTCAATTCTACAATGACTCTTTGATTCTCATCATCCACTTCAATTGTAACTTGCAATTCATCAACATCGGGGGTCTTAATTTTGTAATGCTTAAAACAATTGGCGATTGTCTGTAGCTTCACATCAATTGACTAACAGCAACTGCATTTACAATTCCATCAAAGGCAGTTCTCTTGATTGGTTCCAAGACACGATCTTCTATCCGTTTCAAAAGTAAACAATTGAAGCGCTGAATTGAAACCCTAATACTATTAAAACATGAATTAAAATCTTAATATTGTACTACTAAAACATGAATTATGAAATAAGAAATTTTTGTAACTACACCTTTATTAAGTTATAACCTCCTCATAATAATAAAATTAGTTAGTCCCACCATTATGACTATAGAGAGGTTTTACTGTATATATATATATATATATAAATGATAGTTGATGAAAGCCACTTAGAATCCAGAGGCCTATGCAAACAGTCCAAGCAAAAACTCCCATGCATCCAATAAAAAATCCACAGCCCAACTCCAATCAACCCACCTTATCCCTTATATAACAGCCCATGAAACAACACTCATCCCATCATCTTATAAACTCAATCCACCCCCTTTAAAGCTAAGCCCAAAAGAAACTCCATGCCCAGAACCCATTAACAAAAATAAAAAACCCTTTATTGTTGGAGGCATGGGAGTTTTTACTTGGAGAGTTTGCATGGGCCGGGCTAGGTGTATGGGCAAGTTATGTAGGCTGGTTGTTTGGGCAATTACGTGGGCCGATTGTGTCCTTTTTGCTAGCTTTCACATGAGTTCCCTTTTGCGAGTTTCGTTTGAGTGGGCCAATTGCTTGGACAAGTTGTTGGGCTATTTCCGTGGACAAGTTGTGTGGGTTGGAGGCATCAACTTTTCTTCTTCATTTGCATGGGTTCGCTTTTTGGATTGTCCAAAGTTCCTTTTTTGGGCTACGTATCTTCAATTTTTATGATTAAAATAAAGGGTTGGAAAATGTTTTTTCTTTTAAAGATTGTGGGTGTGAAATTGTATATTTTCCACACTTCGCGTGGGAACATGTCATTCAGCCGAAATTCAGCCCATTCAAAAAAGTAGACTTGAAAAAGGATTCTATTGATTCTACAAGAGGGCAATAGCATTTAGACCAAGTATAACTTTTAATAACATTTTAGTCCCTATTAGTAACTTTACTCCCTAAGTTTGTCAACTTTCATCTTACTAATAAGGATCGAAACATTACCAAAAAATTATTGAAGACTCAAGTTTACTTAAATCAAACCTTAGGGATGAAATCTAATTTTTCTTCGGCTGTATTTCCACGTATTGTGCAAAGACATAGAATAATGAGAATGGACTTTGATTCATAAACTTATGAAAAGCCCCCAAGTGATGCATTTATGTATAATATAAGAATTAAATACTGTCATGCCAATCTATTTCATGCTAACACATGCTACCATCTCATACTACTTACAAATTATCAAATGTCAACTTGCATTAAAAGATTGGGATTCCAATCAACCATTATCAGGTTAAAAATAACATCACTTATTACACTATAAAAATAACATCACTAGATTAAAAGTTTATTACATTATCGAACAAGACTTTAATATGCAATAAAAATATAAAATCAAATTTATAATAAAATAATATTTTTAATTTTCTAACATTTTAAATAAACTCAAAGAGTTTATGAAAGGAGATCAAAGTCATCTACCTCTATGTCGCAAAGTGGTTCAATAGAGACTCTTAGGTATATTACTCAAAATGTCTTGATTCAAGTATTTCTTCGATTGTTAATAGCTTGGGGATTAGCTTGAGGTGCACATAAGTGGCCTAAACACTCCCAGTCATTAAAAAAAAAAAAAAAAATTATTTAAATCTATAAACATTTTTGGAAAGTTTTGAAGTTGTTTGATTACATTTCAAAAGTACCTATAAAAATTTTAAGGCTTATGGGAAAAGCTAAAAAATTTAGCTTGTTTAAAGAGAAAAAAATATACCTATTCAATTAAATAAATTTGACTTAATATGTTTTTGTATATTAAAGTTTATTTTGGGAAATTAATAATAAAAAACTATTCTAAATGTTTTATTTTTTTTTTCCATTAACTCTATTCGAATAAGTTGTAATTTTTTTTTTTATACACATTTTGAGAAGCGACCAAATAATTAAAAAAAATTAATATTCATAATTATATATAAATCATATTGACTTAATAGATAATCGAACAAAAAATACTTTTGACATTAATTAACATGTAATGCAATATTATTCATATATAATTTCTTAAAATACAAAAGTGACACGTACGAATATCGTGTATCTAAATCTAAGACTTTTTAATCACGTCAATTGACGTGTAATTTCCCCATTTTAAGGAAGAAATTAAAATAATCAAAATATTAATAAAAAAAGATCTAGGTCATCACGTGGAATGCACGTGATACAGAAACTGGTTTCACTCCAAAAACTAAATGCCAAAACAAAGAGATTTAGGTCCCCAAATCAAAGATAAAACCACTTCTCTCTTTCCTATCACTCGCCATCTTCTCCCCCTCTCGCTCTCTGCTCAAAACTGCACGGACGCTCAAATTACAGTAATTATTGTTTTTTCTTTAATATAATTTCTCATTAATTGTTTATTTTCTATTTTTGTTATTCTCTTCAGTTGATTCGATCTCCATTACTAACTTTCCATTATTTCCATTCCATTTTACGTTCCATTTTTTTTTTTTTTTTTTTGTTGCGTTTGTTTTTTAATTTCCATAATCCGTTTGGTTCCCGAGAAAACGCGAGGAAATTTGAAAACTTAAGGGAAAGTAGTACTGTATTGCGTTCAAAACCGTTGACTGTTTAGTGTTTAGTGCTGACTTTCTTTATTAAGTACTGTATTTCCATTCCATTTTTTGTTGCTTTTGTTGTTAATTTTCATGATCCGTTTGGTTCCCGAGAAAACGCGAGAAAATATGAAAACTTAGGAGAAAGTACTGTATTGCGTTCGAAAACGTTGACTGTTCAGTGCTGAGTTTCTTTATTGAGTTTGGAGTCAACGAAACTTGAGTTTCTTGTGTTTTCTTTCGTTGTTTTTGTTTGGAAACCAAATGGACCCGTTAGTTTCAGCTTGTTTATAGGATCTGTTATGTGATTTAAGTTGATCGGGTTATCTGATTGGTTAGAAGATCTTCCGTGTGAGTTGTGATGCTGTTTGTTCATGAATCAGATTGTGTTTTTTTCTTAAAATGGAAAGATTAGGAATAAAGAATGTGTTTGAATGTAAGTGAAAGAAAGACAGGTTTTGTGTTGGTTTTGATGATTAATTGGCTATTTTGTGTGGTTGCAGAACGAAATGGGGGTATATCTGAGCACCCCCAAGACTGAGAAGTTGTCTGAGGATGGCGAAAATGAGAGTCTTCGATATGGGGTGTCGTCCATGCAAGGTTGGCGTGCCACAATGGAAGATGCTGTGAGTACTTTACTTTTAGGGTGAATCATACTGTGTTGGTGGATATTGATTTTGAAGAGCAACATGAAACTTACAAAAAGACAGTAATTTGTATTTTGAAATGTGGAGCTCGTGTAAGACTTATAGAACTTTGACAGTATTAGACTTGTAAAATAGGAAAATGTAGGGACATTGGTATCAATGCCGATCAGTAATATAGTATAAGTCTTGACTTGAATCCTTGGTTTATGTTTGCATTTGCTGTTTGTAATTGGGTTTTAACTAACATGTTGAAAATATAATATTGGCATACACTTTCCTCATTTAGTTCTTGTTAATAAAGGAGCACTATGGTAAATTAATAGGTTAGTTACAATGTGAAAATGATGTATCTTTCCTGTCACTCATTATAATTTTGTATTACAATTTATAATTTGCAGCTAATTTTATGTTGCACTGTGTGGACAGTGTGTTGATGTCATGTTGATTCAGTTTCATTTTGGTTTGTTCGAAAGAGGCAGCTATTTGAAAGTGCCCTGGAATCTCTTAAAGGCTTGGAAATGCATGGGAGCTTTTAGTGGGACAAGAAGTTTTTGTGATATTTATATAGTTCTTGTAAATTGTTAATTGAGCACAGCGGTGCTCTTTTAATCGCCAAAACTATAAGAAGACAGTAGCCTGATAATGCAAGAATATATTTTATTACGAAAGTAGATACTTGTTAAACGTTGGTACTCACCGTCGTAGCGCTAAAAGTTTCAACAGATAGTCTAAGAATATACTAAAGCTCTAATTCCATTAAATACAATAGTAATGGTCCATAACATATCAAATTTTTACAGCCATATTATCTTACCTATATTGTCAATATAATCTGATTTGCATATCATTGCCATAGATAGTCTATTACCTTCTCATTTTGGTCAAATAATTAGAAGGGGAGATGATTTAGGAATGCTTTGTTGTATTTAGATATAGGCTCCTTTTTCTTAAGAAGAATTTTGGAGAAATTGAAAACCTCTGGTTTACAGCTTAGCAGGATTGTGGTCCATTAAAAGAGTCAGGTTTATACTAAAGTTACCAAGTCTATAGGTGCTTTACCTTGATATGGAATAGTATCTGTGAGTAATAAACACTTAAAATTCCACGTTAGACTTGAATCTGACTTAATGGACCTACAGTCCGTTCCAGAAAACTCAGTAACCTATTAAAATACCCTTAGCACTAAAATTTGGTTAAAACTGTTTAAATAAAGGACTGATGACTATCCTAAATTCTCTTGGCACTTATTTCTGGACCAAAAAGGAATATATATCATTTCTGGCCACAGCATCATTTCTTGGCTTCTAAAGAAGAAAGTGTCGTTTTAAACATGCTATTGATGTGGTGTGAAAAGGCATATGAATTTGAATCTGGGCATATGGATATAGGTCCCTTTTTGTATCATTGGGATAGTTAGTACAATATATGAATTTGATGAAACAAAAACCAGCTTAGTTCTATAGAAGCAAGTAAAAAATTGTATGGGTTAAATCAGATTTGGGTATCCTGTATAGGATATTTTAGAGTCAGTTATTTTTTTTGGTTGTTTTTGCGTTACACTGATATGTTTGTGCTAAGGTTATCATTTTGTTTGATTTCCATTAGAACCTAGGGAAATATGTTGCATACTGACTAAAGCACTTGATTATTCTAAAATTGTTGGTAATTATAATAACTTCATTTAGTTCATTATTATTACTATTATATATCAAAATTGGTGTTTTTGAGTTTCAACTGAAATAAAGATATGCTCCATGTATGTTAATATGCTGAGTGTGTTGGGAGACTAATGTGGCTTACTTGGGATTTGATAAGAGTATGCCTCTTTTAAATGTGTTTCTGCTATCTAAATAATGTGGCATATCTGTCATCTCTTCGGAGAAGGAATTAATGAAATACAGCTTCATAATTTGCTAAAACAAATGCATTTCGCTATGCATGCTAAACTCATATGAGTATTCTACAGCATGCAGCATATCCGGACTTGGACGATTGTACATCTTTCTTTGGTGTTTATGATGGTCACGGAGGTTAGCATCCAAGTTCTGTAATTTTCTGAATTCAGTTATTTGTTTTTGTTATATATTTAAGTATTATTTGTTGAAAATTTCTTCCATTTGCACATGCTGTTTGGGGTCATTAGGAGACGGCATGACATTCAGCTCCTTTAGAATGTCAAAGCTTTTCCTTAAATTCCACTGGAGGATAATAATTTATGAAATACAAGCATGCTGCTATTTCCAATGTATAAGCGAATTCTAATATTTTTTTCCTTCACCTTTCATTGTAATTTAACTTTTCATGACAGTTGTCAACAATAATGATGAATTGATTTGCTTTCNTAAAGAAGAAAGTGTCGTTTTAAACATGCTATTGATGTGGTGTGAAAAGGCATATGAATTTGAATCTGGGCATATGGATATAGGTCCCTTTTTGTATCATTGGGATAGTTAGTACAATATATGAATTTTATGAAGCAAAAACCAGCTTAGTTCTATAGAAGCAAGTAAAAAATTGTTTGGGTTAAGTCAGATTTGGGTATCCTGTATAGGATATTTTAGAGTCAGTTATTTTTTTTGGTTGTTATTGCGTTACACTGATATGTTTGTGCTAAGGTTATCATTTTGTTTGATTTCCATTAGAACCTAGGGAAATATGTTGCATACTGACTAAAGCACTTGATTATTCTAAAATTGTTGGTAATTATAATAACTTCATTTAGTTCATTATTATTACTATTATATATCAAAATTGGTGTTTTTGAGTTTCAACTGAAATAAAGATATGCTCCATGTATGTTAATATGCTGAGTGTGTTGGGAGACTAATGTGGCTTACTTGGGATTTGATAAGAGTATGCCTCTTTTAAATGTGTTTCTGCTATCTAAATAATGTGGCATATCTGTCATCTCTTCGGAGAAGGAATTAATGAAATACAGCTTCATAATTTGCTAAAACAAATGCATTTCGCTATGCATGCTAAACTCATATGAGTATTCTACAGCATGCAGCATATCCGGACTTGGACGATTGTACATCTTTCTTTGGTGTTTATGATGGTCACGGAGGTTAGCATCCAAGTTCTGTAATTTTCTGAATTCAGTTATTTGTTTTTGTTATATATTTAAGTATTATTTGTTGAAAATTTCTTCCATTTGCACATGCTGTTTGGGGTCATTAGGAGACGGCATGACATTCAGCTCCTTTAGAATGTCAAAGCTTTTCCTTAAATTCCACTGGAGGATAATAATTTATGAAATACAAGCATGCTGCTATTTCCAATGTATAAGCGAATTCTAATATTTTTTTCCTTCACCTTTCATTGTAATTTAACTTTTCATGACAGTTGTCAACAATAATGATGAATTGATTTGCTTTCATTATGGATATATGTGCATGCTTTGGTGATCAGCAGAAAACTATTTTTGATGATTCAGTTTCAGCTTACTTCTGGGTCATCTTTTGCAAGTTTGGGAGTCTTCTCACTATAACAACACTTTCAGACCTTGTCACTGCATGCAGTTAAAAGGCGTTTTGATTCTCATAGTTATTAATACTAGCAGTTTCAAGTTATCTGGAGTTACTGTATGCTTTCTTCAATAGGGTTGACATTGTCCTCTGTATTTATAGATGTCATGAAACACCTGGCATATACAAGATTGAGTGGTTGTTTTCGTTTAGACTGATTTTTTTCTGAACACATTTTTTGTTTAGTTAACACAGTATACAATTTGTACAGTTATGTTTTTGTAACTTAGGAGGAATTTAGTAAGTCTAATTATATGGTACAAGCTTAGACAAGTATTTAACTTGCCAGGGGTCTTCCAATTGACTTATGCCAAAATGCAGTTTTAGTTTTTGTTATTTCCTATCTGATTTTCTTAACTTCTTGGTCTTTGGATGAGTCTTGGCGTCAAAGGTGAGTGCATATTTTATTTTTTTACCTTTGCCTTTAGCAATTGTCTCAGAGATGAGAGGACTGAGCTATGCTGTATTGGTCTTGACTGTATGATGGGTGCCTTGATGTTTTCAAAACCTTCGCAGTATTGTCTTTCTTTTTTATATGTTGGTGATATACTGTCATGTTTTGTCCTAACAAAGTCCATAAATCTGTAGGTAAAGCAGTGTCTAAGTTCTGTGCCAAGTATCTTCACCAACAAGTGCTCAAGCATGAAGCTTATTCGGCTGGAGATATAGGCACTTCTGCACAGAAAGCTTTCCTCAGGTTATTTTATTTAGTATCTTCAGACTTGAAAATTTTCTACAGGTGCCTTAATGTAGTCATGGTCTGAGTATGAGGCAGATGAGATGTCCCTGTTCTGTAAGTGTCATGCGTTATTTAGTTTGATATCTGATACTGGACTATGGATTTACAATACTCCACATAAACTGTGTTACTGTCATAAACCTTTTCTTACATACCATTAAAAGCAGATTTTCTTATTCCAAAGTTTTTTTGTGAATTCAGTTTATATGAGATTTTTGTGTGTAAATACTTTTTGGACTCTTTTGTTGTTCCATTGCTAATATTTCCAATCATTGCTATTGACATTGTGCTCTATTGCTGGACACTCATTAGACAGAAAGATGGCAACTTTTTACTGGATCTGATCAGTCCTATGTATTCTACTCATGCTGCATTACAGTCGTAGTGCATACATTCATTGACTTTTGCCATGGTTGGCTTCAATTTTTAATTAATAAACTGGCAGGAAAATGTATTTTAGGATGATATTTGTTACTTCCATGAATATATATATATATATATATTTGGTATGTAAAACTTTTATTTTATTTTTATCATCTTCCAACTAGTGTAATGTTTCTGTACAGAATGGATGAGATGATGCGTGGTCAAAGGGGTTGGAGAGAATTAGCTGTATTGGGAGATAAAATGGATAAGTTTTCAGGCATGATTGAAGGGTTAATATGGTCTCCTAGGAGTAGTGAAGTTAAAGACCATTTTGATGATTGGACTTCTGAGGAGGTATCTTACTGTAGGAAACATACTTCTAATTTTATGTGGCAATGGCACAGTTTTTCTACCTTTTGGTCAGTTGATTTCTTTCAGCACTTGGGAGCATTAATGCTCATTTCAATATGCTAAAGTTGAGACTGGTTCAATTGAAGCTATCATTTTTCCTAATTTAAGTTTAATTCATAAAATCGTAAATTTTGGTGAATCGCTCTAAGTTCATATAGGAAGTTTTGGTAAAATCTCTCTAAGATAGATTGCATGTCACTCACATGATAAATCATGTTTATCAACAGTGTGAAAGATCATTAGCTTGTGCCATCTTAGAAATATATGCTTTAAAATTTAATGCCTATATACATCTTCTAATGCCTATTCTTATGTAGATATAAGGCCTATATACATCTTGATTGGTTGTCTATTCATCTGCTAGTTGTTATAGTTATATAGATTTTAAATAACATGATTTTATCTTGTAAATAGGGTCCTCATTCTGATTTTCATGGACCAAATTGCGGAAGCACAGCTTGTGTTGCAATCATTCGAAACCAGCAACTTGTTGTTGCAAATGCCGGCGATTCTCGTTGCGTGTTATCGAGGAAGGGTCAGGTATTTTGTCTGGCATTTATATGAAGGCATGAGGGGTGTTGTAGGAAGGACAAGAGGGATGTTGGTGACACTATAAGTCCAAAGACATCTTTCTATATCTTGCATGAATGCAGATGAGGGTTTTTCTTTTTTTAATATTTAGTAATCTCTCAATCATGTCCTAACATTTTCACTGAGTTATAAACTAAGACTGCTGTTGGACCTACATTCTTGGTAGTAACGAAATCTGTGAGATATAATACCTTAAGTAGGTGCCCTTAAGGGAGATCGGGCTTGACTCTTGATTGAAGCCAAAGGCTTAACCACTCAAACCCAACCCTTGGGGTTTTCTGCAATATGCTATTTTCTTTATCGATGATACTATACTCGCAAAGTTGGAATCCCAACTGATGTGGCAATTGAATTTGGCAACACCACCTTAATTATAGGATGACAAGTGATAAAGCTTGCTAAAATCAACTGCCAAATTGGTGCCACATTGGTTGAAGATATAAGGGATCCGAACTTTGTAGGTGTAGTATTGTTCTTCCCATACATTTCTCATTGTGCCCTAGGGTTACACTTGCAGCCATCACTGGTTTTAGTCCCATTTATCATAAGATTAGATATTAGCCAAATGGTTGCACCTGAACCTATCACTAGTTATTCTGATTTATTCTGAACCAAGACTCCTAAATAATGTTGTACATCTAAATTTTCATGTGCGTTGTTTTATTAATATCAATTTGTGCAGGCTTATAACTTATCTAAAGATCACAAGCCTGACCTTGAGGTTGAAAGAGATAGGATACTGAAAGCTGGTGGTTTTATACAAGTTGGACGTGTTAATGGAAGTTTAAACTTGGCAAGAGCTATTGGTAAAGATTTATTTCAGCCCCACTTGAAGGGGAGAATTTAGAGATTTCCTTCACCTTAATTTCAACTCCTTAAACAATTAAATTTTTGTTGGTTGCAGGAGATGTGGAGTTCAAGCTGAACAAAGCGTTGCCTGCTGAAAAGCAGATTGTGACTGCCAATCCAGATATAACTACTGTACGTTGCATCAGCACTTATGCATTATGTAGTTTTTGGCTTGCAATTTTTGCAATTTCACTTGGCAATAGAGCCATTGAGGATTATTTTTACTGTTTTTGATACTTATTTAAATTCTGTATATGTGTTTTGTGTGTTACTGTCTAATTATGTTCTTTTTGCCCTTGAATTAGATTGAGCTTTGTGATGATGATGAGTTTCTGGTTTTAGCTTGTGATGGGATTTGGTAAGTTACTTACTACTTCAAATTATATATAGAAACAGTTGCTAATGAAAAATCTATTTCCCTCCGACATGCTTTCTTCCCCTCTGTTGAAATGCTCTCTAAATGCTGTATGGGCTGAATTAGAGATAATATTTATATTTAAAATCTCACAGTACTTTTGAGTAAATTCCCTAACTTTGTGTGAACTTAATTAATTGCCACTGATATTCTTTATTACTTATGAGCATGGTTTGGATCGTGTTTGTTTTCTTTTTTTCAAACTATTGCTCCTGAAGCTGTTGATAGTTCTTATGAGCCAAAAAGGCGCATACGTTAAATATCAGTTTCGCTTTGACTTAGAAGTCTATGTTATTGAACAAGCAGGAGAATTATTCTTGATTTCTTTGGCTGGCCACCCGAGTTCAATCCTTGGGGATAGGGTAGGGGAACAAAAATTAGCTTTGGGCTATGACCCACCCCCTAAAAAATGGGGGAATTATCATTGCTAGTATCTGGATTAATGGCGGCATAGGCCCTCTTTTTTAGACCCTTAAGATTTCATTGCTAGTATCTGGCTATCTGCTTCTTGGTGCACTTATAAGTTGTGTTTGGTGTGTTGATTTCTTGGCTAACAGTTGGAACTTCAATTATTTATAAATTTTGCTTAATTGATGAATTTTTGTTGTTTCCATTAGGGACTGCCTTTCAAGTCAACAACTTGTGGATTATGTACGGGATCAGTTGGCCACAGTGAGTTTCTGAGACCCCTGGTGATATATTTTGACTGTTGTCATTGTGGTAACTAACATCTGAGGTCACTTGATCTGTGCAGGAAACTAAACTTTCTACCATCTGCGAGAGAGTATTTGAAAAGTGTTTGGCTCCGGTGGCTGGTGGTGAAGGATGTGACAACATGACCATGATCTTGGTTCAGTTTAAAAAACCTTTTAATGCTGGTGCTTCTGTGGCTGAGCAGCCATCTGCTTGCGATCAACCATCTTCTTGTGATCAACCATCTGAGCCTGAAATAAGTACTGCAGAGACTGAATCACAATCTGAGCCTGAAAGAAATCCAGCAGAAACTGAATCGAAGTAGTCGGAGCCATTTCTACTGACAAATTGGTAATGCATTTTCTACTATCTGCTAGCTACGGTGAGCACAAGAATTACGGACCTGAAATTTTACATTTAAAAAGTGATTCTGATGATACGATTGTAAATATTGAAGAGCATTTTCATTGATTAGATAAGCTTTGATGACTAATATTCTGTATATGTGTTGTGTTGAGTATTAAAATGTAAGCGCGCATTGATCAGTTTTAGGAGATGAATGGATCAAACACATTGACGATTTGTTACTGGGATGATATTTGATCCTGATCCTGTGCGTATATAAGTTGTCCGAGTTGCTTGAATAGTGAACAACCCAGCTTTCTGTGCAATTTTATTTTTTATTTTCCTTGAAAAAATTCAGCCTTCTGATTGTATGTCTGGTAATTTACTCCCCCTTTGCGATAAATAGTGGTACTTTTGTACTGCCTCCATGTTTTTGTTTTTTTTATGTGAAGGAGGTGTATGGGTTAGTTTACACGTATTCTAATTAATCTCTCTAGATCTTGGAATTATTGATCGAATAAGAATTCTAGTGGTTATTCTTATTAGCATTCAAGGAGGGATTCGAACTTAAAACTTATTAAGTAATATATTTCAGAGTTTTTATCGAATCACTCGATTATTCAAACGTAGTTCACCATCACCATGTTTATAACATATTGGGGAGCTCATTCATTATTCTGCAAAACCAGTATTCCGTTTCCAAACAGTAGTAAATAAAAAATTTTGAGACGTTGGGAATAAGTATTTGTATGATTGCTCTAAACATAAATTTTATTTTTTTATATTTTGACAAAGGATATTAGTTAGATATATAAATAAGATTTTTTGTTTTTTTTTATTTTGTGTATGTAGTGTACGACTAATATTTAGTTATAATTGAAGAGGTTCAATTTGTATTTAGTGGGTCAAGTCAATAACGAACCAAAATAATTTGAAAAGTCGATTAAAATCTTGGACTGCTTCTTGTTGAACAGTTTCAACCTCTACTTTAAAACCAAGACTGACTTGTTCGACTGGGACTCGACAGCTTCTCCGGTCCGATTCAGGTTTTAGGTGGGTTTTGTAATATTTAAATTTATAGGGATTAATTCTAAATTTTTAGGGGTGTTTTGGAGATATGTCAAAAGTTTAGTGATTAATTAGTCTTTTTTGGGGTATTTTTGAAATAAATAAAAATTTAGGGACTAATGTGAATTTTTTTAGGGGTAACTGAATATACTAAAATTTAAGGGGTTAATATGTAATTTTTAAAAAATAAAATTATTATTGACATCACCTATCCAACCGATTGACCCGTGACTTGGGTAGTAAAGCGGGTTGCCCTCCGATCCGTGTTTTAAAACAATGGTTGAACTCTCGCGACATTAATTTTTGGGTTGTGAGCATTGTTTTAAAACCCGGCCTTGCCCGGTCGGTTTAACCGGTTTAACCGGGACTCAGCAGCTTCAACGGGCCGAATTTAACTTTTCCGATTCACCCCCAAACCCTAAGATTTGGGAGGATGATCAGCGAACAATCGACGACCGGAAGGTTAGGGCTTTTGAAGACTAAGGTCCGATGAATGCAATGGTGGTGGCGTTGTTGATTTCCAGTGAGTAAATCGATCGAAAATCGAAGAAACCTGGCAGGGGCAACAATGGGATTTTTCTGACGATTGGCGAGACTAACGGGAGTGGTGAGGTGGGTTTAGGTCGGGAGGAACATGGGAGTAATTCCTGGGTGATGGAGAGGTTTGTCGGCATCGGCGTGGACAAGATCTGGCCGAAATAGAACCTATTTCGGCCAGATCTTGGGTAGATTTTAATGGAAATGGGCTTAGGGGAAGATTGGGGTTGCATCTGGGGTGTCGCCGCTGCCGATCAGTCGCCAGTCGATTTTCAGTTGGGGTGTGTTTGATAAAGTTCAAACATGTAGGGACTTGCAGGTAATTTTTAGGGGTGTATTTGTTGAGTTTTAAAATTTTTTGTCAACCGGTTTGACCAGCGGTTAAACCGGTCAACCCGGGACCCAGAAACTTTGCCGGGTTTCGCCCCGGGTTGGGTTTTAAAACATTGGTTGTGAGACTTAATTTGCGAAAACATTTGATGACCACATTTAAAATGCTAACTACTTTTATATTCAAACCTTTTTTATTATTATTATCATGATCAAGGTGTCCGGCCAATTTATAGACACCTCAGTTAATCTCTTGGAATCTTAAAACTATCGATCGAATAAAAGTTCTAGTGGTTATTCTTATTAACAATTAAGGAGAAACTTGAACTTAGGACCTCTTGAATAATGCATTCAAAAATCTCAATTAAACTACTTGATCACCTAGAAGTAGTTTTTATATTTAAACTTTGTGTCACAAAATAACAACTCGAATGGTGGTGAAGTCGCTGAACTCTGGATTAGACACTTTGGTAGCTGGGATTTTTTTGATGCTCATGAAAAAGTCTCTAGTTTCCCCTAGAGATGGCAATGGGCCCGACATTTTCGGGTACCCGGCCCGGCCCGGCCCGAAAGAGGCGGGCTTTACCCGAGGTTGGCGGGCTTGGGCTTGGGCCTGGGCTTGATTTTAAGGCCCGACCTCGGGTACGGGCCGGGCATGGGTACATCTTTAGGCCTGGCCCGGCCCGGCCCGTCCCGAAAATTTTAGTATTAATTTTACTAATTTACCCTTATACTATATATTTAATTACAATATTATCCTATATATATCTATTTTTCCCAAACTCTAACCTCAATTTTTATCCCATATTGAAGGTTTAACATGTTAAAATTGCCTTTAAATGAGTTAGATGGGTTTGGTTCAACTTATAAAAGTGGATTTCACCATAACATGTTATGCACAGCTGAAAAGTTAGTATAATCAAATATTATGGAGTTTTAATTACTCAATTATTGCTTAAATTATTTGCGAAAATAGTTTCAATTAATATTTAAAAACTATTTCTAAAATTAAAAATAAAAAAAAATTGAAATTTATTAATATTTAAAAATAAACATTATTAAAAAAGGTGGGCTTGGGCCGGGCCCATGGTTATAAAAAACCCGTCGGGCCGGGCTTGGGCTTTGCCTATCATACCCGTAGCGGGCTCGGGCCGGGCTTGAGCCTATGTCATGAGGTCGGGCTTGGGCCTGGGCCAAGGGATACCTGGTCCCGGCCCGGCCCATTGCCATCACTAGTTTCCCCTAGTTCAACAGCAAGTTTCATATCACAATCAAACGGCATTTGACAAGAACAATTGGAAAAGCCAGCAAAATTTCAAACCGTTTGCCATTGAACTCTTTTCTTTCTAAACTTAATTTGCTATATTTGTGACAAAATTTATAATGTGAAAAGTAAAATGAGTCCAAGTCAAATGTTCAATAATTTTACACAACCCAGTATCTTAAATCTTAATAACCAAATTTTATATTTGTAATTTGATCTGGTAAACCACTTTTATTATTTAAATCTCAGAAAGTGATAGGTTGATAAGGATGGTATGTCATGTGCACCAGAACATAGCATAAAAACCAATCACTTAGATTTTTTTTTTTTTTTAATAATTTCTGGCTAGACCTAACGAATTTTGTAATTTGGCTTGACTAGTGATGCCTCTTTCTTGATTGGAACTACTTGGAAATTTATTCTTTTTTTGTGAAAGTAACACTATGTTATTTTAAAGGCATTGTTTGGCTGATTAATTTTTTTCCCATCTGCAAACCAATATCCTCTTTGTTATGACTAAGAAATTAAAGGTTGACATGGAGTTGCGTGACGAAACGTGGCCTGCTCCCGTCAGAACGGTAAACGGATGTCAGGTCTGCCAAACGCCCTGGTGCTCCCATGTGTCCGCTAACCTGCTCCAAATCGCGTGAAATCGGCTTGAAAAATGGATAATGGGACGTAAAATCAGATTAGGTCCTGACAATCGCACCAACCCATGGATTTAATGATGATTACACGCTTCAGCTTGATATAAAATGAAGAAGACCCCTTCATTAAAGGGATTCGACAATTTTACATAAAAAACTCTCCCTCTCTCTTGTAAACAACGCATTTACTTTTTCTAAATCTCTTGTAAGTCAGTCCGCTGTTGCGACCTGACCCACACTATCAATATCAATACAAATCAGTGGACGTAGGACTTGCTATCTTAGCATCCGAACCACTTTAAAAGCTCTCATAGCATTTATTTCGTATTGATAATCCATATTCACGTGCGTTCCTTGTCCAGTCAACGTTGCGCATGTGTCGATTGGTTGGTGCCTAAATCACGCATCAACACTCTTCTTGTCATTTGGTTCCATTTAAGACATTATATGAATGGTTAGGTTATATATAGTATCTTCAATGCAATGTAAGAATCCAAGAAAATGGAGGAAAATGGAGGAATATGTTTGCTTGGGAATTTCTTCTTTTAAAAACATTTCTATGGGTGTGAAAGAGATGTTGATATTTGAAGTTGAGAAATAACTTATTTGGATACAAATGTGAAGAATTGACTATTTCTATATGGCTCGAGTGGTTCGATAAAGACTCTTTAGTGTATTACTCAAGAGGTCCTTAAGTTCGAGTCCTTCCTCAGTTGCTAATACCGGTAACCATTGGAGCTCTTACCCGGCCAATAATTCCAAGGCCTCTGATGATTGATTGACATATATGTAAGCTGGCCGGACACACCCCGTCATAAAAAAGAAATGTGAAGAATACTTGTCAAAATTTGAGACCTTTTTGTTCTTAACAAATAATCTTCATGAGGTTTATATATGTAACATGAATTGCCTTTTGATTTTGTTATAATAACAAAAATCTCCTTTCTATTACATTTTAGATGTTAAAAAAAACTTGCAAGTGGTCAATTAAGTAAATATTCATTGCTTCCTAGTAAGATAAATTTAAAGACTCACTCAATAGATGAAAATTTCTATTATTTCTAAAATATGAAGAGATTTTTTGTTATTCAATTAAATCTTTAAAATGTCGTTATATACATTAACCCTTTCATAAAACTAGAGATTGATATGAATTAGGCAAATGAGACTAAAATAAGGTAGTATAAGATTATTATCTCATAAAGAACATCAATACAATTGTTTTCACGAAACAACATAATCTTACATTTCAAATCATAAATCTAGAGATTGATATAAATTTAGCTAATGAGACTAAAATATGGTAGTATAAGTATAAGATTATCTCAAAAGGAACAAGAATAAAATCATTTTAATGAAACAACATAATCTTAAAACATAAAAAAAATTATATCCTAAACAAGTAATCACGTAACAAATGGATAATAGTGTCATTTACATTTTATGATAATATATACAACCAATCATTTTACAATTAGTTTGAAAATTCTAAATTTCAACACCACAAAACTATTAAATAGTTAAAAGATTCGTAATACAGATAAGACATGAAGACCGAAGACAGTTAAAGCCAACCTTAATCCACGTCATTTTTTATTCCAAAATTAATGTAACAAATCCCCCTACCTTAAAAAATTTAAACAGATAATTATAATGATGAGATGTTATATTAGTTATCTACAAGAATTAATCAACGTGTGTGTATAAACTGAACCGAATACCTTATTTTGAAAAAAGAAAAAAAGTAATGTGTCATAAATTTCACCCTCGTTATAATTATGTAATGAATGAATGATTGCATCATAGAACTAAATTCATATCCTAAACAAATAAGACATGAAGATGGTTAAAATCAACCCTAATCCACTTAATCGAGGTCATCTTTTATCCCATTATTAATAATACGACGTGTCACAAATTTCACCCACATTTTCCTTACCATCGGATATGATTGTATTTTGAGCACACGGGAACCTCATTATCCAATCTTTACCATACAAAATTCAAATACAATATCCACCGTTGGATCAATCACCCAACCATCGGACCACATCCTAGATTAACGGACAATCCAGATTTAAATCTCGAGTGAACGAAAGGACCATGTGAATCTCTTTATTCTTCTTATCCACTCAATCAAAACGAACCGTTTTACACGCAAACCAACACTAAATCTAATGGCTACTCCCATTGTTATCTAATCCGTTACCGTTTTAGTTTCAGAATAAAATACATATTTTTCTATACCTTCGTGCCCACGAGATAACTGCACTTTTTGTCCCTCACCGCGTCACATGATTCCACGTGTCTTCACCTCGTTTAATAGATCCACACGTGTCAACACCTTACTTCATCAATAATTGCCCTGCTCTAATTATTGCGTAGTTTTCAAGTTGTTCCCAATCATTTCTCAAATTTCATTTTTTGCCCATGTCCTTGTAAAAATTATTATTCCACCCATTCTTGTTCACTTTTAAGGGATAATATTTGCTAAAATGTCGAGGGTCTATTTTATTTTTTCTCTATAAGATTGGTTAGTATTAACCTCATCCACTTTATTTAAAAAGTATTAAAAACACCTTATAATTACAATTTACAAAAACGATCTCACTGGAAAATGAAATAAACTCTATTGTCAATTGAAAAAATGTTTCTTTGAATTTATTTCTCTTTCTCGAGACATTATAAATTGTTGACTTCCTCGATTACTAATAAGGATAGTCATTAGATGATTATTCGACCATTAATTTCAGGATTTCAAATGATTAATTGAGGTATGCATAAATTAATTTAGGCACTCTTAGTTAAAAAAAAAAAAAAAATTGTCAACCGGACCAAAAATGAAATATATTAAATAATAGAAGCTTCTAAAAGAAATTTAAATTTAAAAGTGAGGATTCTAATCTTAGTTCCCAAGCAAAAAACATGGGTACGTAGCTTGGAAGAAACTTTCAATCTATACTTAATAGCTCATTTGACTTACAAAATGTTTCTTATTTACAACCTTCAAAACTTCTTCATATTTATTTTTTAAAAATAAATTTTGAATTTAAATGTTAAATTAAAATGAATTAAATCCTTCAAGTGCCGTTTGATTAAAGGAATTTGATTTCCGTGGCAGGTTAAGGCACCCACTGATTTTGACTTTAAGCATTTTTATTTCCAGGATTCCTCCCATCATCATCGAAATAACATAAATAAACGAGGTTGACTAGTGACATTTTCGTCTCATCAAATTAAATTTTGATTAATTCATTTGACCTTTCTTTCACATTACACCAAATAGGCAAATACGAACTTTTCACCAACTATTATTTCATAAATTTTTTTATAATTTATATAAATATTCTTCAAAATCTATTGAGAATTATAAAATATTATTTAAATTTACTTGAAAATGTAAAAAAATATTTTCAAATATAAGAAATCCATCGTAAATATCAAAGCGCGTTTTTAATATCTCTCTAAAATTATTACAACGTGTAAGACTTAATAACCTTTTAGAAGAATACGCTTGAGACTTATTAATCTCTCACGAGTAGATAAAATGAATGCAAGAATTAGTCTATGAGCTATATTTTTTTTATGTATGTGTGAAATAGATAAAGAAAAATTCAAAGCCATGTTTTATGGATCATGTTTAATTATGGCTTCGTTTGGTTCACTTTTTTGGTCTTTAGAAAATATTTTGAAAAAAGTTAAAAAAAGTTAAATTGGACGGGTATTACAATGTAGGATTTGAAAATTAATAAAAATAACCCCTATGTTTGTTTATTTACTAAACACCCCTATAATAAAACTTTAAAAGTTAACAAAAACACCCCCAACCCACCCATTGAATAATCACAGCCAGCCACCATCGTCAGAGGGTGGCCGGAGTCACCGTATCCGCGTATGACCGGCTGGATCATGCCTGTCGTGCGTCGATATGGCATTTGCCGATCAGATCTACGGCTAGATCTGACCATTGACAGCCAGATTTGGCCGCATTTACTCGTCAACGACGGCCAAAGATACGGCCGTCGTTGATGGTCAACGACGACCATATGTTGGCCGTCATTAATGGTCAACGACCAAAGATCTGGCCTTTTCTGGCCAGATCTATAGTGGATCTGGCCAGAAAAAGCTAGATCAGCGCACTACCAGTCAGATTCAGTCGATAGTGCGCCATTATATCAGATTCCGGCCAACTTCCGGCAGTGGTGGTTGGAATTTGGTATAATGTGGGTTTAGGGGTGTTTTTGTAATTTCAAAAAAAATATTTAGGGGTATTTAATTAAATTAAAAAATTTTGAGGGTTTAAAAAAAGTTGAATAATATTGGATAATTATTGTAAGTTTTTTGGCATTTTACTATTTAACTTTTTTGGGAATACTAATAATAGTATTCCCAAAAATCAACCAAACGGAGCCTATGTTTTATGGATAATTACATTTATCTTAAAATTATATAGAAATAAAAGGAATGGGTTGAGTGAATTGTCCCTTTCATTCTCTCCTTTTTATAATTTAAGAAAACACCCACATCCATAACTACGTGGAGGATGGGGTGAAAATACAAATAAACAAAGCTAAAAAGGAATAAACCGCTACTGGGTAACTGAATTGTCAACTAAGAATTTTGAGTGTATTACTTAATACATCTCAAGTTCGATCCATCTCAGCTATTAATAGAATAGTTACTGAAGGCTTATTCTGTTGTTAACTTGAAGACTCGAGGATTTGTTAGTGTTCTTCATATCCATATTTTATGGATAATTACATTTATCTTAAAATTATATACAAAAAATGGGAATGGGTTAAGTGAATTGTCCCTTTCATTCTCTCCTTTTTTATAATTTAAGAAAGCACCCACATCCATAAAGGGTGGGGTGAAAATACAAGTAAATAAAACTAAAAAAGAGATAATTGAGCGGTCAACTAAGACTCTTTGATCTATTATTTAAGAGATTTTAAATTCAAATCATCTCAGTTGTTAATAGGGGTGACTAATAAAAGTTTATCCGATCATTAACTTTAAAGATCTTAAGAGATTAATTGATATACGTGTAAACTGGTTCTAACGTCAAAAAAAAAAAATGCTAAAAAGGAATATACCTAAAATAAACCATTCAATTGAAAATTGGAGCCATAGTTGACAAAATAAAAGTCATGAATCTGACTAGGATGAATCAAAGAAAGAGATAAGAACAGCACATAAACTCTCTCTTTCCATCTTTTTTATTTTATTATTTATTTAACTCAACAAATTATGACACTACACCTCAACCTCTAGATAAGGACATTTCATCTCATCGTCTCCTCCTTCACAAAAATTTTCCCTCTATAAATATATAAAATAGACTGCCCCTTTGAACAGTCCCCTTAATATCTATCCATTATTGCAACAAATCAAATCTTGTCACTTGAATTTCACAAACCAACCAACAATATCCATTTCATTTTTATGCTCAAAACCGAACCAAACCCAACCCACTAATTTTTTTTATATATTTTCAAACCCCAATCATTCATCCATTTATTCAGCCCCTTTTTATAAACATACAGGCAGAGAACCAGAGGATAAGAAAATAGATTATCATTTGTCAGTGTTAATATTGTGTTGTTTATAATATTTCAATGGCTACTTTTACTGCCGCCGGTGGAATGATTGGATCAAATGGATTACAATACAAGACCATGAAGAAGAAGAAGAATACGGTGAATAGGATGAAGGTTTCTTGTTCTTCTCCTTCGGTTTCGATGGTGGATCCATACAAGACTCTCAGGATCCAGCCGGGTGCCTCTGAATCTGAAGTTAAGAAAGCTTTTCGCCAGCTAGCTTTGCAGGTTTCTCTCTCTTTTCTTTTCTATTCACTTCATTTTTTATTTCCATCTTTATATTAAAATATTCTGCAATTTCTGGGTTATAATTTTTGGTCTTGTTCTGTGTTTTTTCTTCTTTTTCAGTATCATCCTGATGTTTGTAGAGGAAATAATTGTGGGATGCAATTTCACCGGATCAATGAAGCTTACGATGTATGTTGAATCTGAAATTCTTTTTTGGATTTGGTTTTGGATAATATTAAGTTTGAGTTTTTTTTATTACCATGCCATAATAATAGGACCTGAAAATTTAAGTTAGTTTTTGGGATCTTATACCAATTGGGTACCATAAACGAACCATGATTTTGAGCATAAACGAAAATGAAAACGAAAACAGAAACAGTTATCAGAAACGACATGGCCTGTTTCTCAAATTTTGGTGTGATCGATTTTGATGTATCTTAAGCTGTCATCGAATCACTTAAAAATAAATAAAAAAATACAATAAAGATTTTTCATTATGGCCCTTCAAATCCCTTAAGAACAAGAAATCTTGCCCCCACCAAGTTTTTTCATTTTTTGATGCTTTCAATGGATAATATGGTCATGGAGGGCCATCCGAAAAGACATTAATTTTATCACTTTTTTGAGTTAAACATTAATTATTTACAATTCCACTCACTCAGCATTTCTGGGTTCATCCCTGATTATGGATGGTATCAGTTTGAGTATGTGCTTAGTCTGGTTTTTGGTGGTGGTGTTAATTTTTGCAGATTGTGATGAGCAATTTGAGAGGTGAAAGTGAATCCCAGATGATATATGAGACGTACGATGAAGGCGCCGATGAACCGATGAGGGGAATGGAGGATCCGGATTGGGATTTATGGGAAGAGTGGATGGGATGGGAAGGAGCTGGAATTAGAGACTACTCATCTCACGTTAATCCTTACATTTAGTTTAATTAAAACTTGTAATTAGTTAATGAATGAATTAAGTTCTTGCAACCCACAAATATGGAGTGGAGGTTGTTATTGTAAATAGTGAATGAAAAAAAGCCAAAGCCATTGTTGGTTGTACATATTGAAGCTGAGATGATGGCTGTGCTGTTTATATTCTTATCTAAAAATCGTTTAAAAGAAGTATGAATTATGCTCATTTGAGTTTAAATATTTTAATTATTTTTGCCTTTTAAAGTTAGAATTTTAACTTAATATTTTAATATGTTTAGGGATTTATTTCTTTTTTTCTTCTAAGATAGATTAAAATGAAAAGCATTTATAAAGGCGAAATGACTATTTCCCACCCAAATTATGGTTTAATGACATTTTTTCACCTACAGATTTTTAAAATATTACTTTATTACTCAAATTTATATTTCATTTCTGATTATGATATCTTTGTGGTTCTATATCATCATTACTCTCTTTTCTAATCATCACTCACCAAAAACTTTCAAACCTTACTCCTACCAATCCCTAGTAATTAAACGATTAGGGTTTGTGTAGTCGTCATTTTCAAGTTAAATCTCTATCAATTTCAACCACTAAAATTTAACATTTCACACAAAAAAACTCACCAGTCTTCAATCTTTAAAAGTTCTAACAGTCCGAACCGAGTTTGATCTTTGTTCACTATCGAAATATAAATTTGAATAATAAAGTAGTATTTTAAAGTATAGGGGTGAGAAATTTCATTAAACTATTATTTGGGTGAGAAAAAATCGTTAACTAATTTATAAACTATTGAATAATCTTCTACTAAGACACTTGTGATAAATTTATAAGGCGATGTTAATAATTTTAAATGAGTTTTTGATATTTTTAAGGTGTATTCTCTGAAACTTTTTATTGTAAATAATCACAAAGAAAATATGTGATAAATCCCATATTTTAGATATAAAAGGTTTATATTTTCAAAGTTTTATATATTTAAATTTTTATAAATGGTTTTGCAGAAGGAATGAAATGCTTTATAAATGGTACAACTATCACACAATATCATATTAAATGTGTTCCAATTTTGACAGAATCCACCCACTCCACACTTTGCACGAGGCTGCCAATTACCATCCTAAAATCTCGGCATTACCGACCTCGGATTACCACAAAACCCCATGGCTGCGTTTGGTTGAAAATTGGGGGTTTTGGAAAAAGTTTTTTGAAAAAGTTAAAAAAAAGTTGAATTGGGCGGTATTACGAGGTAAAATTTATAAAATAATAAAATCTCCTTTATATTTTTTTTTTTCAAAATACCCCCTATAATAAAACATTAAAAGTTAACAAAAATACCCACACCCACCCTCAAACACCCCCAGCCGGCGACCACCACGGAGGTGGCCGGAGTCGCCGTATGGGCGCATGACCGGTTGGATCTTGCCGGTCATGCGTCGCTATGGCCTTTTCCGCCAGATCCACGGTGGATCTGACGGAAAAGGCCAGATCTACGGTCAGATCTGGCCGTCAACGGCCAGATCTGGCGTATTTACTCTCAACGACGGCCAACAAACGGTCGTCGTTGAGTCACGATGAACGTTTGTTGGCCGTCGGACGAGTGGTACGGCCAAAGATCTGGCCGTCAAAGACCAGATCTTTGGCCTTAGATCTGGCCTTTTCGGCTAGATCCACCGTGGATCTGGCCGGAAAAGGCTAGATCGGCGCACTGCCGGCAGTTCAGCCGGTAGGGCCATTCTACCAGATCCGGCATTTTCCGGTGGTGGTGGCCGGAATCTGGTAAATTTGGTATTGGGGTGTTTTGTATTTAAAAAAAAATATTTAGGGGTATTAATTAAATTATCAAATTAAGGGGTTTAAAAAAAGTGAATAATTTTGGGAGTAGTATTCCCAAAAATCTGAAATTTTGGGTAATTTACTGTTTAACTTTTTTGGAATACAAAGTAGTATTCCCAAATGTGAAACAAACGCAGCCCATGTATTTTAAAAATTCAAAGACCTCCCTTTATATTTTGTAAATTATAAGGACCTCCATCTTCTGTTATTTAATGGCCAAATACCTAAATGACAAAAGAGCCCTCAAACAGTCTTTAGTCAACTGCCTTGATACTGTAAAATGCTCAATGTTTATTGTAAATTTGTAATCCATAAGGTTGAATTGATAGATGACAACGGGGCGACCCAGTTATGGGGATGGCAAGGAATCCGTCCTCGTCTCGCAGTTAAAAATGTTGACAGTAAATAAAAAACTTATAGAATTAAAAAAAAAAAAGTGAATAAAATAAAGTAATGTCACCGAGCTGAGGGGGTGTTTGTCTAAGCTATAAGCTGGTCAAACTTGTTATAAGCTCTAAAATTAAGCTGACTGTTTATTTAATTTTTTTGAGCTTATAAACCAAAAAAAATAAGTTGGAGGGGAGGTACTTTTTTTTTTTTTTTGCATAAGTACTCTGCTATAAGCTAGTTTGACCAAATATATTACCATATTATCCTTATTTAATTTTAAATCCCTAGTATACTCTTGTTTAAGTAGTACCCTTTTTAGTCATTTTAATAAAATATACTTATAAGCCATATTTACCAAGCACGTCAACTACTTATCAGTCACTTATAAGTACTTTAACCAAATACGTAAATGCTAAAATTTCAAATGCTTATAAGCTAAAATTAGCTTATAAATATTGTTGTTATAAACTAAATTTTCGTAAGCTTGACAAACACCCCTGAATATGTTGACAGTGAATAAAAATGTTGCAACAGTTAAATTAGCTTCTAATCACTGAACTAAAATATATTGACAGTGAATAAAAAAGTTGCAGAATTGAACCAACTTTATAATGGATTCGAACGTCAAATTCAATTTGAAAAAAAGGCAACATCTAATATTTTAAACCAACAGCTCAAATGCAGCAGGGGGGAAGGAATCTGTAATTCATCATCTCAACCTTCTCCTTTTCAAGAACTCTAAGGCAAATATCATTCTATTCAAACCAAAAAGTAAAAAAAGAGGCCCTGAATTGTCTGCAAGAAAGTTTAAATATTTAGAATTGGGCAACTCTTTTAACTTATAAATTAAATAGTAATATAACTCTACGGTACATTTTTTTAATCTCCAACGAAATATCCAATAATCAAATGCTAAATCCAATAAAATCTCTAACCAAGACCAGTAACAGGTAAATCACACAACAAAGCAAATAAATTGGAACATGCTTATAACAATATCAATAAATTGCGAGAAAAACTAACAACCAGAAGGCGAGATGAAATTGGTGAGATGGATCGGCTATAAAAGTAGATTGTGATGGAATTGGCGAGCGAATCATGTGAATGGTGAGTGTAGTTTAGGGAGGGTCTAGATTAGGTTTAAGAAAATTGAGTATATACACGTAGAATAATTCTGTAATTAAGTATTATTATAACGGTATTATTGAAACTATATATACACTATTAGGGTGGGGGGGGGGAAGAGTTGCCCCGGCCGCGACGGGGACTAAAACGTCCCGTCCCCTACAAAAATCGAAAGGGGCAGGGTGAGTCCCCAGAATTTTGAGGCTCTGTCATTTACTCTATTATACATAGTCATTTGTTATTATTAGGTGATGTCTTCAGAGTCCCCTGTTTTATATTAATGATGCATACAATTTTGTTAAAAGTTAATTAGGGTATGTTTGGTTCGGGGTCATATAAGATTTAGGAGGTAATCTTCGTTAATTTTCAAGATTCCCTTGTTTGGTTTGCAAGTAATAAAATATATGAGTATTTTTGTGACAGAGAGTTTATTGTTGATAATATAGGGGTGTTATTAAAAGATATTGAGGTAATCTTATTTTATACATATTTACCCTTAATTAAATATATTTCGGACACAATTGCCCTCCAGTGTCTACTAAATAACATTACTCAGATCTCTCTACATTTGAGAATTTAGTTAAAAAACCATACCATAGAAAAGTTTAAAAATTAACAAAATAGTTTCAACCATCTAAGACCACCATCGGCCACTGACAACAGTCATCGTAATGACATATGACTGACGTGATTTGGCCGATTGTGTGTTGATAAACGTTTTTATGACCGTTTCACGACGAAAGATGTGTAATAAATATACCAATAGAGTAAAGTTGTTCATAGTATCAACAGAAGGACCATAAGCGTTTGTCGAACGACATATAATAGCACACGCCACCATCAGCCACCGTAACAGTAATTATAATGACACAAGACTGATGATTGGCCAATTGTGTGCTGATAAAACTGGTTTTATGACCGTTTCACGATGAAGATGTGTAATAAAATAATAAAATACCATAGAGTAAAATTGTGTCATAGTATCAACAAGGAGGACCATAAGCGTTTGTCGAATGACCATATCAATGGGCAACAGATGGGAGTTTGATTTGACTAGTCTCTACATTATTACTTAACATTAGCTATAAATTTTCAAAATACGAAGGAAGTCCTTCAAGATTTAAAATACCTAGGACTCTAACACTCCGGGGAACATTAGGGAAGGTAGTTTGAAATTACCCTTTGCACAACTTTACATAGCAATTCCACGTATACCAATTCATTTGGGTTATAGTCTCAACCCATTAAAAAATTGGATTATGTCGTGTTACCGGGTACATGTGAGGAATTTAGCAAAGTAAAGTAAAGTAGTGGAGGTAAGTTCGGGACTGACCTCGGCAAACTGAGAGCCCGTACTTCTTGTTTTTCGAACTTTCCACTCATTACGCACACGTGAGCTTCCAACTTCATTTTTTAATATTTCTTCTTCGGTTCTTCCTTTTTTTAATCAATTTTTACATGGATTCTCTGTCGCCTCTGCCCTTGCGCCCGTGACTTCAACTGGGTTTCTTTATTTCATTAATCAGGTTTTAAATCGAGGGTTCTCCTTTTAAATTTATGTCTCTTTTGTTGCTTTCTTTGGTGGGTTTATTTTGTTCGTTTGCTAATTAATCGGATGATTTTTTTTTTTTTTTTTGTTTAGAGTTTATTTGCATAATCAGACTGACCCATCAACGTTTGTGACGCAAATTCCCAGTGGAGGTAATTGATAAGTTATATTTTCGGTTTTTAATTCTGTAAATTATGTAGAAATGATGAGAACTGCCTGCTTTTTGCTTAGAACCGACTTACAGAATTGTTTAGTTGATAGAAAATTTGGTGCTGCCTTGTGTTGTTGTAATACGTGGGGGAAAT